CACAATCCAGCCAGGGTCTAAATCCCGGGTTTCCTGTGGGAGGAACGGCCCCGTCCTCCCACCGCGCGCTTCCGCTCCTTGTTTGCCTTAGTCCGTCCCGAACAGCCCGTGAAAAACTCACGCCGTGCAAGCGACGCATCGTCGGTACCGTGACCATGGCCGAGCTGTTCCCACCTCCTTCCCAACCATGCCAGATCTCTCCCGAGTGTCCAGCTCACGCTGCAACATCCCAGCGCTCATCTGCCTCCAGATCTTGATTCCTAAACTGGCTCTTGCTTGAGTAATTAATATCTCAAGCTCAGTGTATGCAGAGTTGCATCCACTTCCTTAAAGGAGCTAAAGTGGAGAAATATCCATCAGGAAAGCCCCTGAAGTCCAGCCTCCACTAGGAAAGCCTCAGTTTGCAGGCACAAGTTGAACTGGTGCAGCACCTCGACGCCCGCACTGGAGTGAAGCGAGCAAGCTCCTCGCAGGGGACCCAAGCACCAGGACAGTCTGCAGCCCCTGCCCGAGCCCACGCCACAGCACGGGGCTCGCTGGGGCAGGGCAGCGGCGACCCAGGGCTCCCCGGGCTCATTCTCCCTCCTGCAGCAGACCCTCACGGCCAGCACGTCGAACCCGAGCCGCGGCCAGCTCCTTGGCTTTGCTGGAGAGCGGTCAGCGCCCAGCAAGGTCAGAGCTCCCTGAGAGATCAAGCAAGCGGCCGAGGGAGAGGAGACAACCCATAAGCGGGAGGCTGAACACCAGCACGGTGCAAGGCCAGGACCCAAGTCACAGAATCACAGAATCACAGAATCCCAGCATGGCAGGGGTTGGAAGGGACCTCTGTGGGTCACCCAGCCCAACCCCCTGCCCAAACAGGGTCACCCACAGCAGCTGCACAGCACTGCGTCCAGGCGGGGCTGGAATATCTCCAGAGAAGGAGACTCCACAGCCTCCCTGGGCAGCCCGGGCCAGGGCTCCGTCACCCTCAGAGGGAAGAAGTTCTTCCTCATGTCACCACCCGGAGCCGGTGCTGCACTGGAGTCGGGGTCTCCCGTGGGCGAGGGGCTTTGCTTTTCCCCTCCACGCCGGGGATTCAGACTGCAGGACAGTTCTGTTTCAAGGAGGGGTGCGTTAGAGGCGCAGAGCAAGCACGACCGCCCCGCTCGCCTTCAGAGCGGGCGCAGGCAGAGGGGTGCGCAGACCAGGGCGAGCGCTCCCTCCCCGCGCCTCCGCACCAGCACTGAGGGACCATTGAGGGGCCGTGTTATCCTTGGCCTCCCCTCACATGTCCCGCACGGTGGGACACGGCGCACAGGCAGGAAAACCTATTCATTGGAGATGGAGGGTAACGAGCACGATCATTTGAAGGCTATATATAAATGAATGTCCAAACACCAGGAAAACGCTTTTGCCTGGAACAGCAGTTAGTGGGGGAAGCTGCTGGCAGGAGAAACTAGTCTACAGTGGGAAATACATCCAGCAGCAGCTTAATGAGTTTCTTATTAGCTCTCTGGTGTCTCTGGCATCCAGGACAGGCCACTTGCCTTAAACCCAGTGCAGATGCAGCCCTCTGCTTCGCCCCAGACACCTCCTGGCACGTTGTGGTTGGAGTAAGGTAGGCACACTCCTTCTGCCACATCCCTGGCACCCTGTCCTCCATCCGCTGGGTCTGCTCATGGCTGGGTACTCCTGGGGTGGCAGCAAGTTTGTGACCCGCAGCTTGCTCCCCAAGACCCACCAAAGCAACCCCAAAACTGTGCTTGGAGTCGGTCTGGCTAGAGACAGGCACGCAGCCCGGAGGAGGGGGAAAGCAGAGGGCGAGATGTGCGCAGGCAGCCACCCCGGGCTCCAGCTAAGGCTCCCCACGTGCTCGCGGGCATTACAGCAAGGATCAGCATTCAGATCCCCCCCTTCAAGAGTGGCTGGGGAGCCAGAGAGGAGAAAGCTTCTACCAGAAGGCTCTGAACGTATTGTTTTAATATCTCCTTGCATGCCAAGAGCACAGGGGCCTGGGCAGAGGAAAGCTGCGCGAGCTGTTTGCACACCTGCCTTTCCCTTGGCCCTTCCCATGTTTTCCAAACAGCAGAGACAGAGGAGGGCGAAAAAGGGATTGATTCCACACGGGAGGCTGCACCCCCTGCCTCGGGCAGATGAAAGGCGGGGTACGGGCCGTGCCTG